TGCCTTCACCCTGAGTCAGCTGGGATAGAGTCCAGCCCCCCGTGGCCCTAGTGAGGATTAAGCGGTGTATAGATAATGGATGGATGGATGTTTAATCGTTATGATCCAGGATTGAGATCTACCAACTCAGTATAATATTTAAAATTGCATATACTCATACTGTATAAACACCTTCAACAGCAAAAGATGAGCTAAGTTACATTTCATGTAATTAAAAGGCAGCAATGTAGAACAAACTTGCGGTCTGTTAAATATATTTTAGAATATTCACATACACCGCTGTCTTTGAATGCATGTGGCCGATCTCACGGCATTGATGAAAGTTAGCAGTAATATTTTTAGCTCTCCAAATGAGGTCACGAGTCTCAACTGTGGTTTGTGAGAAAAGTGTTTGCAGAGTTCACACTGTTGAGTTTTTACAGAAGCCGGCTGTTAATGATGATTCTTGTGTTTGGCTTTTTAAAAAAATCAGATTTTGTGGGATTAAACCTTATTTTGGAGGAGGGGCAGTACTATACTGATAGCATTTAGCTGTTTTGTTTGTTTGTTTGTTTTTACAGTAATTTATTAAAGTGTAAGTTCAGCCTGACATAAACACTGATCATTTGAAAAATAAAAAATCTTCAATGTGAGGAACAAACTATGTTCTGCTGCAACAGATGAGTCTATACAGGTGGGTCCACCTGTGGGTCTGGCTGGGTTACCTGAATTAAAGCATTACACTGAGCAGATCATAATCCACTGTGAGGCAAACACATGTGGAAATCTAAAAATATTTCTAAATATCTCAAGCAGCATCTCATCTTTCAGACACTGGAGCCAGTGTTATGTAACCTGAGACCTGCATCATATTTATTTTTTATTTTTTTTTGCTTGCACTCGATCTTTCCTGCATCAGAGTAAACAGACAGGTGATGCTCTGAGTAAATAATAAAAATACAGTCACAGGATGAATAATTGATGCTGCAGCCTGTTGTTCCTAAATGAGTGTCGTCATCGGGGCTCCAGTTGCGGAAGTGGCTGCGCTGTCTGCAGACGATCAGACTGGAGGAGGACCAGAGGTGTGACAAGACGCTCTGGATCTCACCAATAACCCTCCTGTGGATATGAATGATCAACAAACATGATCGCCTGAGCTCCGATCGACTCCCCCCCTCAGCTTCATTCGGCCCCTTTAAACCCGGACCCGGCCAGGGAGGAGCTTTGTTCCGGAGCTATGGGTGCGCTACAGTCCCTACCTGGTCAACCAGAATATATTGATCTGGCGGAAAAAACGGGCTGTGAGTAGTCGTCGATTGCTGTTTTTAAGCTCCTCTTCTTGTGTGGGATGTCCGCAAACATGAGCTCACTGGCAGCGGATGTTGTCATTTTAATTCATTCTAATTATAATTCAGGCTCATCTCAGAGGGAGAAAAATCACATTAACGTGATACCTGACGCGTAAAGGGGGAAGAGATGAGCTTTATGTTTCTGTAGGATGTAATCACACATGTCTGGCATCTCTGTGTATAAGCTAAAGCAGTCTGTTTGGTGCAGTAGCTATGAATAATTTACACTGTAAGTTAATGGAAGTGTAACTTTACCCAGTTTTCAAATGCTGGCTCCAGTTAATAATGGATGACACTGTATTGAAAGCTTTAAATAAACCATTTAGGAGGAGGGAGAAAAAAAAGCATCCAAAAGATTCATACCTATTGTATTAACCGAGCTAGTTAGTGCACCTGTAGCCTCAACAGACCAACCAAAGTGCTTTACATAAAATTACGAATATCCAAATGTTCTTGCTTCGAAAGCTTCCAGCAGCAAGCAAAGAGTCTCGTTCTGTCTCGACAATGTGAGGTAACAGCAGTTTGCAGACAGGAAGTGAAGCCTGCCACCTTTCTGTTTTCAGTTTCGCTCGAGCAGATCGGAGTCCTGCACAAAAGATTCAAACAACTGAGCCACAACGAAGAAACTCTACGGTGAGTCCAACCCAGACCGACCGGGCGGTGCGTTCAGTGTCACCTTCAGGTTTTTTTGTTTTACTCTCTTTGACAATTTGCCAACTTTCTTTGGAAACGCAAACCTGCTCAACAGGCCTGCAGGAGCTATTATGTCTTCTGTCACACCCACAGGAGAGATCACTTCAATGAAATCCCAGATCTGGCGTGCAACCCGATCCGTGCACAGATAGTGGAGGCTTTCTTTGACAAGAGGTACAGTGATGATGCCCGACCTATCAGTAGCACAAGCAGCTATTTCGATAAACAGCTGAGGGGTTATGATTTGTGTGTTCTCTCGCAGAAACTTTCGTCAGAACGACGAGGGGACGGTGGATGAGATCGGCTTCGAGGAGTTCCTGGTGGTCATGTCTCACTTCAGGCCTCCGTCGCTGCACATGACGGAAGAGCAGCGCGAGAACGTCAGGAGAGAGAAGCTGAGATGTGCGTAAAACCACACGATCACATGTTTGACATTATCTGTGGCTGAATGATGGTTGTGTTCTCCCCTCTGCAGTTCTGTTCAACATGCACGACACAGACAACGACGGGACGATAACCCTCGAGGAGTACAGACATGTAAGCCTCCGCCAAGTGCTTTCCGCTTGTGCAGATTTTAATCTTTTTAATGAACCAACAATCTGACGAAATCATCCCGGTGTTGCGCTCATCGTGGGTTTATCCTGCTGGTTTTTGGTGTTATCTGTGTTTATCGGCGTCGTTTGATCGGTTTCAGACACGCGTTGAAGATTTAAGATGCAGATTCTCGACGTCTGGAGGAAAGTTGTGTCTCCGCTCCACCGCTGCCTTCCTGTAACATATGTAATTGGCAGTTAATGAAGGAAGGGAGGAGGTTTTTCATTTCCTCATGCCGAAGAGATCACTGATTTGAGTCTTGTAACCANTCTCGACACCGTAAACAGCAGCTGTCAAAAGAAATCTCACCTCCAAGTCCATTTTGTAGCTTTTCTGGAGCTTTCAATCAAACCAAGGTCAACATTTAGCTCTGAGCCCTGAACTTCTAAACCAACATAGTCAAGAAAGACCTTTGAATCCCTCTCAGGTTGTTGATTAAACCCCAAAAAACCCATCTCTGTGTATCAAAGTTTCAAATTTAGCATTTTTTTCTTTGAAAATCGTCCCTTCATACCCTAAAATGGTTTAGATGTGACTTTACATCATAGCTTCCTCTAAGATATGCAGATCTATCGAATCCCTGCCTCACTCTTCATCTGTTCCTCCCCACTTGCTGCAATTTAAGCACACCAGCTCACCTACACCTCTGCTAGAACACCGTAAAACCACTCTATGCTTCACAATGGCCAGTAGCAATATTGGAGTAATTCAGCTGTACATGTTTTAACCGGAAACTGATCCTAAAGAAGATACGATGATCCAGAAAGTCCCAACCTGCAAGACGACAGGATTGATTCTTTAGGTTTGTTTTACTTGTGAGTCATTGGTACGCTCCAGTTTTAAGATGGAAATGGTCGGCATTGGACCATGATGTGTGTTTCAGCAGATTAGAAACACAATGTGGACATAAGGTAAAAAACTTGATTTTTACCAGGGCGTAAAACTAAAAACTGTGAACATTTTCTTCACGCATTTCTGGTAAAATCCTTTTGCTGATGAAATAATTGATTTGAGATAGAATTCAATAAATGAAATTTTAAAAAGCTGCAGTACTGCTATGAAATGGACAGTGAGTCTAGATTGTTCTTATATTTTCAGATTCAGGCCCACTCAATTTCATTTATATGATGCCAATTCACAGTACAAGTCATCTCAAGGCATGTCACATAATCAGGTAAAAACCTTGTAAAATTATGGAGAGAAACCCAGAAAATCTAATTGATTTCCTTTGAGTAAGTGTTTTGTGAACCAGGCTCATGTAGAGTGACCATCACATGGTGCTGCTGCTGTCATCAACATGAACTGTAACTGAGGTTACCAAAAAAAATACAGCAATTTATTCTTTTAGAATAGATAAACACGACTGTGAACTGCAGAGAAATAATATTAATCGCTATGTATCTTTAGTCTTGGGCTGCAAGTAGGTCGGTGGTTAGCATCGTTGCCAGAAGGTCGCCGGTTCACGTCCCGGTGAGGACACCCGGGATCTTTCTGCGTGGAGTTTACATGTTCTCCCCGTGCAGCGTGGGTTCTCTCTGGGTTCTCCAGCTTCCTCCCACACAGTCCAAAAACATGTTGAGGTTAATTGGTGATTCTAAATTGTCCGTAGG